GCGTCGACCTCAGCACGGACCGCGCGACGCGAGATATCCTGCTGCACTATGAGGCGCGCAACTTCCCCCGCAGGCAGATCGGACGAGCACACTCCGAAAACGGAGTATACGTCCTGGACTTCGATATTCCCGACTGCAGCGGCGACTCGCACGAGCTAATTGACCTCGTGCCACTCCGCTTCGAGCACATCCACCGCAGGGATTGGAAGCACCCTGACGGAGTGCCGCATCATCCCCACCCACGCGAAACGGCGCTGCACAACCCCGATCCAGATGGGATCTGCAAGGACTGCCACACGCCAACGACATCAACGAGCGCGATCGACGGCCGCGGACTCGCCGCCATTGCGGAAGCAGAGCGACACGCGCCACCAGAAGAAGGGATGTCGCAGCTCGAGCTTGAAGTAACCACCCACGCCGTCTTCGGCACGGCAGAACATCCTCTCGTCGGCCCCCCCTCACAGCACCTTCAAGGAATATTGCGCGGAACTGGGATCGGCACCTTCGACGCCCATGGCGAGCCGCGACCCTACACCCGCGAGAAGTTTCTGGAAATTTACTCCCATCGCCGCGACTCGTCGAAGGAACTCACCGTGGAACAAGAGGAGGAACTGGCGCGCCGCGAAGCCGAGGAGCTTCGCCAGCAAAGCCTCGCGGAAGCCCGCGGGACCTTCGCTTGCGCCGCCTGGGGAGCCGAGGAGGAAGCAAGCGCCTCCAATGAAGGGGGGTGGGGGAGCGCTGGAGGATGGGGAACGAGCGACACTGGCGGATGGGGAGACAACGGCGGAACCTGGGCCAACGCGAGCGGCGGATGGGGCGCCGCATCTGGCGCCGACAATAGCGGCTGGGGCACTTCCCGCGAAGAACGAAGGGGGGGAGAGGAAGAAGCCGAGGAAACCGAAACAGCACCTGCAGTCGTTCCTCTCGGTCGTCCCCCACGTCGCATCCCGCTCGCACCACCTCCTGCAGACATTCCCCCGCATCGCGATCCCTGGGATACTATTATCTGGGGCAATGAACCGTCAACCCCACGCCGCACCGTCTACGGACCGGCCCCTGAGCCACGCCAACCTACCCTTGTCCGTGGAACTATCCCTGGGACCAACATTCCGCTCTCCGAAATTCGCGACAGAGAGTTCTTGGCGTTGATGCTGACTACCGCGGCAGAAGAAGAAGAAGCAGAAGAAGTAGCAGCGGAACCTGCTCCCGCACCTGACGAAGACCCTGAGGAGGTGCGCGCGCGCTACATGCGTACTTCCGGCTTTCGCGCTGACGATGCACTCTGGCACCAGCGCCTCGGACACCCTTCACTCCCGTGCGACGCTGAAAAACTGCATCGACGCTGGCGTCTTCGCTCCTGGCGCACTCCTGCGCCCTGATGGCTCCGAAGTGAGTGGCGCGACACATCCGCGCAACTGCACCGTCTGCCCCGAAGCTGCACTGAGCCACCAACCGTTCCCGCTGCTTGAACCTGGAACCAACCGCTACCCCAAGCTGCACAAGGTGTACAGCGATTTTCTGAACGTGGGGCATTGCGGAGTCGAGGACGAGCTATACACTCTTACCTTCATCGACGCTGGAACGCGCTACGTATGGGTCGTAAACGTGGAAACCCGCGACAGAGCCTACGAGGTGTTCCGCCTCTGGCTGGCACATGCGCAGCGGCAATCTGGGAAGAAACTCAAGATCTGGCAATCTGACGGCGCAGCAGAGTTCAGGAGCAACCAGATGCAGACCTTCCTGGCGCAAAAGGGGATCGAGCACCATATCTCTCTCCCCTACGCGCACCAGCAGCAAGGCGTAGCTGAGCGGACGAACCGCACGCTGATGACGAAGGTGCGCGCACTCATGAAGCAGTCGAAATTGCCGCCGATCTACTGGACCTACGCGATGCACCACGCCGTGCGGGTGCACAACCTGCTTTCGACCACCGCCATCACCGGCAATCTGTCCCCGCACGTCAAGTGGACCGGGACTAAGGGGGACACATCGATGCTGCGCGTATGGGGATGCATGGTGCAGTACCGCCCGCCAACGTCAACTATTGGCAAATTCGCCAGCCGCGCGCGCTGGGGAATTCACCTCGGCATCAGCCACGAGTATAAGGCGTGGACCGTGCTGGACCTCCTCAGCCAGAAGACCGTCCATGCCCGCGACGTAATCTTCTACGAACGTCTCTTCCTCGACCAGTTCTACCGCGACCAAGAAACGAATGCAAATCGCGTCTACGCCAACGATGGCCACAGCTACGCCACGAATGAAGACGAAGCCGCTGCAGCAATTCTGGAGCAGGACACAAGGGGAGAATTCACGTGGGAGGATCAGCGCAGCAGCGACGACGACGAAGATAACTCCTCGGGAGGAGGAGTAGGCGGAAGCGGAACAGGCGGAAGCGGCGGAGGCGCAGCACCACCAGCACCACCTGAACCTGAAAGCGATGACGATGACATGCAGGAAGTCATCCCGCAACGTCGCCACGACAGCACCGTCTCGGGGCTGCAGCTGCTCGGGCTTCACGCTGCAACCTCGAAAGCGCCGCGCATCATCGAGCCCCGAAATCCGCGCGAGGCTCTCTCTGGACCACACAGCAAGGAGTGGCGTGAGGCGATGGACGCGGAAATCAAGGCACTGGAGTCACGCGACACCTGGGTGCTCGTCGACCGCGCAGCAATCAAGGGCGCAAGAATTCTCTCGGGGAAGTGGGTCTTCCGCGTGAAGACCGCAGCGGATGGAACCATCGAACGCTTCAAAGCGCGCTGGGTGGTTCGCGGCTACGATCAGAGGCACGGGATCGACTTCGATCAAACGTTCGCCCCAGTTAGCCGTCACACCTCCGTCCGCATTCTGCTCGCCATCGCAGCTGCAAGGCACCTGCCACTTCGCCAGATCGATGTGAAGAACGCGTTCCTGTACGCGTTAGTGGACGCCGTGATTTACGTGGAGCAGCCGCACACCTATGGCGAAGGAGACTCGCGCGTGTGTCAGCTGCGCAAGTCACTCTACGGCATTAAGCAGGCTCCGAGGCTGTGGCAGCAGTACCTGCACAACATCTTACTTGAAATTGGATTCAAGCAGATGCCGCACGACCCAGGGATGTACCGCCGCGACTTCCGCGGCGAATACATCCTTCTCACGGTGTATGTCTACAACCTGCTTTACACAGGGTCGAACAACGAGCTCCTCGAACAGTTCGAGAAGGCTTTGGCGGGGCGCGTCGACATTACGTGCAACTACGAGGTGAAGCAGTTCCTAGGCCTCAACATCTCCTACGCTCCTGAGGCCATTCACCTTTCAGCGGCTAAGTACGCAGAGGAGTTAGGGAAGCGGTTCAACATTTCACCGGCATCTCTCTCAACTCCCTATCGCACCCCCGGACCGAACCACAAACCTGACAACAAAGCCCTGTCCCCTGCTGGGATCCAGACTTACCAGCAGCAGCTGGGATGCCTTCTCTTCGCCTCTGTCACCTGCAGGCCAGACCTCTCGTACATTGCTTGTCAGCTGGCGCAGTACTCACGCAAACCAACGGCTGAGAATCATCTGGACCTGCAGCGCGCTCTCAAATTTTTCGTTCCAACGCCCAAGATTGGGTTGTTCTACTCAACTGCACCAACTCCATCCTTCAACCTCATCGGCTACGTGGACGCCGATCACGCAGCAGACCCTGATAATCGACGGTCCAGGACCGGCTTCCTGTTCCGACTCGAGCCATCGGGACCAATCTCCTGGAATTCACAGAAGCAGGAATTGGTTGCCCTATCATCAAGCGAAGCGGACTTCATCGCAGCAACCGCAGCAGTTCGCGAAGGCCTCTACCTACAGGAACTCCTGCAAGAGGCGAAAATTCCGACTTCGCCGACCTTCCGCCTTCACTGCGACAACCAGAGCGCGATTCGTATTGCAAACAAACCTGGTTTCATCAACCGCACCAAGCTCATCGCGCTGCGGTACTTCTTCGTAAAAGACAAGGTGGACAAGGGCAAGGTCAACTTGACCTACTGCCCGACCGGTGACATGGCAGCAGACTTCCTCACGAAGCGACTGCCACGCCAGCAGTATCAGCACTGCTCCGAACTCAGCGGCGTGGTCAAGCTACGGCCAGGAGTGAAGGGGGGTGTTACGAATGGTAATATTTGATATTACTGTGCACTCCTCACCGCAGCAAAGAGAAGCACGCAATACCGGGAACGAACGCGAAACGTCAGACGGTTGGAATTGAACCGAAGAGTCAGACGGTTACAGCACATCTGGACCGTCGGAGCAGATGGCATCGGGCAGCTTCAGGCAGGATGGTTTTGGCGGGAACAGTTACGAAACTGTACGCGCCGCACGGTTGGGAATGAATTTGAATAAGGGAATGTACCCCTTAGAGTACATGGCTAGTTAGGTCGTTTCGTATTCCCCTGTACTCATATTTATATTTCTTGTTTTTGCATGTTTTATTCATCTCAAGCATTTTACATTCACTCTGCTATTGAGGTCAAGGGCCCACCAAACTATCTCACTGCGTGCGAACCTTCCTGAGTAGATCCTAGGCCACGATCAACTTCTGATCGCAGCATTGGGTGTGTCGCAATTGGTGCGGGGCGACTCGGGGCTGGTTTGGTGAGAAAGTGCTCGGGCTGTCTTCGCTAGGAGCAACCTCTACAGGAATGAATTGTATATTCATTACATTCACCCTGAACCCTGATCATTCGTCTATAACGAAATCTTCCAGGCGAAACCCACGGCCCCAACCCAACTCTCCCCCTTTTCTCGTAAGATTCCGCCCACCGTCCCCACCTCAACCCCCCCAACCCTCGCCCCCAGCCCAACCTACATTCTCCCCCCATCGAATTGTCATACTCGCCTTCCGCCTTTTTTGCTCCGCCATTTCCCCCACTTTTCTTCTCGTGCGAGAAGGGTTGTTTCTCCCAACCACTTTCCTTCCCCACCTACCTCTCCCCATCGCAACGCAACCTCGCTCTTAGGGGTTGGATCTGATCGGTCGGGACTTAGCCATGGCAGAGGAAGCGCCAGGCTCCGCACCCGCGTCGCAGCCAGACGGCGCAGGAAAGAGAGAATTTGAGGATCGCGCGCCGACCGACGGCTCCGCGCCGGCCGCGGACGGAGCGGAACCGTCTGCCGGCGGCGCGTTCTCCTCGGTTCCGCCTCCGGCGTCCGAGTTCGATCAGGCGAAGCGCAAGGCGGAAGAGCTTGCGGCCAAGTTCTTAAACACCGGCGCGAAGCGGTCTAAGTTCGATGAACCGCCTGCTGCCGGGGGAGCGGGGGGCGCGGCGCAAGCAGCGCCGGGAGGAGGCCCCGGAGGAGGAGGTTCCGCGCCCGGTGGTGGCGGCCCGCCGGGAGGAGGGGGACCGCCCGGAATGGGTCCCCCGATGGGGGGACCTATGGGCGGACCTATGGGGGGACCGATGGGGGGACAAATGGGGGGACCTATGGGGGGACAGACGGGAGGACCGCCGGGGGGATATTCGGGATACGGTGGCGGCCAGGGCCCTCCTGGAATGGGCGGTAAGCACTAATAAAAGCTCCTTTTTTTTGTTTTTTTTTTTTGTGTAAGTCTCCCTCCGTCCCTCCTCCCCCTCTTTCTTTTGTGCGAAGACTACAAGGGGACGGGAGACAGACGATTAAGAAGAGAGCGATACTAATAGGGATGCTATGTGTCCTTGTGTTGTTAATTTGCAGGCGAGCAGCAGCAGCAGCAACAGGGCCATGGGTATTATCAGCAGCACCAGCAGCAGCATCAGTCTGGCTACTACGATCAGCAAAGCGGCAGCAGGAAGATTGACGTTCCCAATTCCAAGGTACCGTCTCCGCCCCTCTCCGCCGTTCTCCACCTCTCTCTCTCTCTCTCTCTCTCTCTCTCTCTCTCTCTCTCTCTCTCTCTCTCTCTCTCCGTGCTCGCCGCCGTTTTTTTGCTCAATTGTCAAAACGCGTTCCTTCATTGTCTGGTCGATCTATATGAGTCCACGTTGTCCTCCCTCCTTCTTTAGTTGAACGTCGATCCTTCTATGAGTCGGACTCAAAAGTCTCCTCCTTCCCGATCCCCTCCCCCCTTCCCCCCCTCCGTTTTACCTCTCCCTTATTCCATCACTTCCTCCCTCTCTCCTTTCCGTTCGTTCCATCCCTCGTCGCTCTTTCCTCCTTCAATGCGCGTCCCCGCCGTCCTTCTGCGCCTCTCTCCCGCGCCTTTTCCCCCCGCGCCTCTGCCCGCGCATTTGCCCCGCGTCATTCCGCCGCGCTTTTCTCCGCGCCATTCGCTCCGCGCGCAGGCGGGGCAGGTAATCGGCAAGGCGGGCGAGACGATCAAGTACCTGCAGGCGCAGACGACTTTTGACTCGACTCAGAAGAACAATTACGCCATGCCTCTCCCCGCGCTTTTCCCCGCGCTTTCCCCGCTCCATTCCCCGCGCTTTCCCCGCTCCATTCCCCGCGCTTTCCCCGCGCCATTCCCTTTTGCGCGCAGGTGGGGCTGGTGATTGGAAAGGCGGGCGAGACGATTAAGTACCTGCAGGCGCAGTCCGGCGCGAAGATCCAGGTCACGCGCGACGCGGACGCGGATCCGCGCTCGCCGCTGCGCTCCGTGGAGCTGATGGGGACTCCGGAGCAGATCGCGCAGGCGGAGATTCTCATCCGCCAGGTGCTCGACGAGGTGAGCGCGCACTGGTCCGGGGGAGGGGGAAAGGGGGAGGTGGAAGGGGAAGGGGAAGGGAAGGGGGGAGTGGGGACAGGGGCGGAGGGTGGGTGTTGGGAAGGCGGGGATTGCGGGGAGGGCGGGGAGCGGGTTGAAGGATGGGAAAAAGGGGTGGGCACTGGGCTTTATATTATTCCCTGGGAACCAAAAAAGAACATTTTTTAAGCCTCCGTGCCTGAGTCGAACCTGCACCCTTTGAACCGCTCTGTACCCCCCGTTCTGCCGTACGCCCCTTGTCCCCGTGACCCCTCAAGCACCAGGCAGCGGGCGGCGGCAGGGCATTCGCAGGGAGCAGCGAGTCCGTGTCTATTCAGATCCCCAACGGGCGGGTGAGTGACACATAGACACACACACACCACACACACACACAAACATACACCACACACACCAATGCCGCTTTCTCGCTCGTTTGTTCAAGAGTTTCCTTCTGAATCGATCAATCGACCCAAAAGAAACTTCGATCATCTTCTTAACCACCGCTCTCCTTGAGTCCGCGTGTTGGCATCCGCGGTGCTAGCTTCCTCTCGTTGCCAATCTGGCTAATCCCTACCAATCCCTTCCCATCGCTTCCTCCCCCCGCCAATCCCTCCTTGCCTCCCTTCCCGCCTCTCTCTTCCTTTCCCCTCCCCCCCACCCCACCCTCTCCGTTCGTCCCTCCCCCTCCCCCATCCCCCTTCCCCTCACCCTGTTTGCGCCATCAGGTGGGGCTCATCATTGGGCGGGGGGGCGAGACCATTAAGAACCTCCAGAATCGCTCAGGCGCACGCATTCAGGCACGTGCTCGTGCGCTCTCTTGCTCTTGTGCTCTCTTGCTATTGTGCTGATTTCTCTCTTGCACGTCACTCTTCACTTCTTTCTCCTCGCTCCATGCTCGTTTCTCCCGTATATTTATCCCTGTACCCGCGTTATCTTGCCGGCATCAATGCTCACGCTTGCTTTTCCCAACAGCTCTGCCTTTACCCCTGCCATCCTCCTCTGCTTCTGCTCCCGTGTGCATGGAATGATGTGGCGTGGCATGGCATGGAATATTGTGGCATGGCATGGCATGGCATGGCATGGCATGGTGTAATGCAGATTCAGAGCGACAGGGAGGTGCAGCCGGGGAGCATGGAGCGCACGGTGATGCTGATGGGCACCAAGCAGCAGACAGACGCCGCCCAGGAGCTCATCCGAGAGGTGCTCGACGAGGTGCGTGGGTTCTTTGTGTTTCGCTATGGGGTGCTGTGTGGCACCGTCGGGTGCTGTGGGGTGCTGTGGGGCGCCGTCGGGTGCTGTGGGGTGCTGTGGGTTGATGCTCCTTGGGCGGACGCCGCCCAGGAGCTCATCCGGGAGGTGATCGACGAGGTGCGTTCACTCGCTTGCATACACGCGCAGTGGGATGCAGTGGGGCGAAGTGGGGCGCAGTGGGGCGAAGTGGGGCGCAGTGGGGCGAAGTGGGGCGCAGTGGGGCGACGTAACCTCAGCAGACGTGCGCGCGCACCTGTTGCTGCACTTTCCGCTGTTGCTGCCCTTTCCTCCCCATGCTGCTATCCACTCGCTATCCACTTGTCCTCTACTCAATCTGCACCCGCATGCTTCCCTTCCCCGCCCCTTTCTCCCCTCCTTCCCGTCGCCTTTCCGCCCCGTTTTCCCCCGGCGCTCATCACTGTTCCCTTTTCCCCTCCCTCGTTCCGTTCCCCTTTTCCCCGCCGTCTCCCCCCCTTCTGTTCCCCTTTGTTTCCTCCACGTTCCCTCCTCTTGTGTACTATATCCAGTCGAACCGGCGTGGAGGGCCTGGATTTGGGGGGGGTTACCGCCAACAGCAGCACTGGCAGGGAGGGGGAGGGGGAGGGGGGCATCAGGGATGGCAGCAGGGAGGGGGATACGGCGGAGGGGGGCAGTATGGGGGGGGACAGTACGGGGGGCAAGGGGGCGGAGGGTATGGGGGGTACGGGCAGCAAGGGGGAGGGGAGTATGGAGGCGGGGGGGAAGGCTGGGGGCAGCAGGGAGGAGCAGGGGGGATGGGGCAGGGGGGAGGGGGAGGTTACGATTACTATGGGCAGGGGCAGGGGGGTGGGCAGGGCGCAGGGGGGGAAGCAGGGGCGGGGAATGGCAATGCAGGGGGAGCAGAAGGGGGAGCGGATGGGGGGTATGGGTATGGGGGGCAGGGGGGGCAGGGGGGAGGGTATTACAACTACCAAGGTGGTGGGGGGTATGGGCAGCAAGGGGGAGGAGGGGAAGGCGGAGCAGGCGCAGGAGCAGGAGGAGGAGGAGGAGGAGGAGGAGCAGCAGCAGGGGGAGGAGAAGGATATGGACAGCAGGAGGGGGGGTATGGGCAGCAGCAGTATGCACAGCAGGGGGGAGGCTACTATGGGGGACAGCAAGGGGGCGGATATGACTATTACAATCAGCAGGGGGGGCAGCAGCAGGGTGGGATGGATCCTTATTCCCAGCAGCAGGGGCAGGGGGGAGGGGGGCAGCAGCAGGGGGGCTATGGTGGGGGGTATGGGCAGCAGGGGCAAGGGGGGTATGAGGGGGGAGGAGGGTATGGGCAGGACGGGCAGGAGGGAGGGGGAGGGGCAGGTGCAGGGCAGGGGTGAGGGGGGAAGTGCATGGCATGACTGTTGTGGTGGTGGTGATGGTGGTTGGGGTTGGAATGTAGCTGTTTTTGGCAGCTTCCAAACAGCTCTATCAAGTGGTTGGGGGAAGGGGTGGGTAGGGAATCCCCTTCTGGTAGTTTGGCTCTATTAGCATGCCCTAATATTTCACCGCAGATCGTCGCTTGATTCTGGTCTGGTGTGGTCTGTTTGGGTTGGGGGGTGGTGGGGGAGGTGGGTGGATGAAGAGGGTGAGCGGGGAAGGTGGGGGTGGGGGGGGCTTGAAGGCTTTCTCTTCAGATATCGGCACAGGGTTGGCCTGTCAGATAGCTTGACATGAGTTTTTGGTGGAGATACGGTCTTGGGAAGTGGGAGGTGCGGCAGCAACAACAGCCGCAATGGATTTGAGGGTGTAGTCGGATCATATGACGTTTTGATGGTATTTGCTTGTGGATTGTCTCACAAATTCCTAACTAGGTGTAGCCATCTGAAAGTGTAGCCGTGGTGTCCAGTCGTAGGAGCTAGTATGCTAGAACATCGCTCTCCTATTCTCTAGGGGTAGAATCTAACAGTCTGAATGATGTTCACTCAAGTGATATGAGTAAAGTGATTTTCTGTGTGAGATTCTTTTGAAGATATACACATCATTTGTTATTTTCGTTCTCGCTTGAACAAAGCCCGAAACACGGCTGAACTCAGCGAAAAGTCAATCGGCTCCTCCACGAAGCACATCCACGCGCCATTCCGAGACTGCCGCAGCAGCGACATACAGGCGGGAAAAGCACATCGCAGTCTGCCGAGCCGCGGGGACACCAAGCCAGCGCGAATTTCACAGCCCCTGTCGCGCGCGACTCGGATGTGTAGCTCACATCTACGGCTAGCAAGAAAATGTGGCATGGAATCCTCTGCTGCTACCTAGCTTGCACTTCTCGCTTTCCCTCCCTGCCCAGCCTTTGACGCTCTTCAAATTCCCCCCCGCGCATTCCCCGCAACAAGCTGGCTACCTCTGAACTTGGTCTGGATGCCTTTCTCCCTCCGTACTGTCAAGGCTCGCTCGGTCCCCCTCATTGCCCCTCTCCCGCGTGCTCCTGAGCCGACACTTGCATCACATTCAGCACATCATCACCTTTTTTGGCGGAACGGCACCACCATATCGCGCTTTCAAGGGCACACGCACGGACCGACCGATCGTTGCTCCAGTCGTCCCTCCACTATCAGCTTCAGCACCGTCAACAAAAATCACTCAGTCATTCACGATTTTCGGGAGCTTGAAACACATCATGCCCAGAAGCTTGGGAAGCTTCAATCAGGCATTCTAGTCATCATAACTTTAGCCGTAGCCTTTTCTTTCATGGACTCTCGCTGCTCTCCTTAACCTGTTTAACCGCTCCGAGTTAGAGGCACAAGTTGCTAGGGTCGTTGGAATAGAGCTTTAACTTCCACAATATCACCAGTACCACGCTGTCGTCTAGCCTCCGTCAGATTCATCTGCTGCCTTCACCACATCACTTCCCTTTCGTGTTAACGTTGGGTTATAGACTTGTTTCCCACTGGTGCCCGCAAGTACGTGCCGTAAACCGGCAACCATGGCTGTCCTAAGTCAACCGTGCCTTCTCCGCTGCACGCTCCTAGCAGCACTAGTGGCAGTGTGTGCGGCTCGGATTGTGACTGTGGGCGAGGCGGACGTGGGTGGATACAGCTACGGATGGAACCCTGCCGTCAACTACACCAACTGGGCTGCGGAAACGCCGCTTCAACCCGGCGACGTCCTCGGTACGGATAAGATGCCTTCGGGGTCTATCCCTCCTTTACACTGAATAGCCAGTCGTTTCCTCGCTTCTCATGAAGAATCGGCTTAGAATCTGACGCGCAAAACAGAATATTGGCATTTCCTCGTTTCCCCTTGCTTCTTCTCCTTCTGCTTCCATCTCGGGCCCGGAATCATCCTTTAACAGTGTTCGAGTACCCGAAGCGCGCCGAGGTGGTTTATCAAGTGGGTAGCGCCAAGGATCTCGCCTCGTGTCATCTCAAGAACGCGAAAGTGCTCTGCGACTCTCTCCGCGGAAGCCGGCCCGGGAAAGACGGCGCGGCTAGCGCTTGCACCGTGACGGTGGAATCGGAACCTATGTACATCACGTCGATTAAGACACACTGCGACATGGGACAACAGGTGAGCGCAACGGGTGACGGACACGGTGACGGTGATGCCTAAGCCAGGGTAAAAGGAAAGAGACAGAGAGCGCAGTGAAAAAGTGGTTGAATGAAATTGTAGAAGGGACAGGAAGACGAGTTGGAATGTGCGTGCAACGAGCGCTAAGCCGTAATCGCCGAAGTGGCGTGTCGGCTCGTTATCGCGTTTCTCTCTGAACCCGTCACATACCCAGTCCCTCAGAGTTCAAAATGACTTCTTTCTTTCCCCGATTTCCCCCATCCTTCCTGACTCCCGCTATTGTCCCAGCTCGTTGTCGAGCCAACCATCGACAATGGCGAAGCGGGCAACGGCGAATCTGGCAACGATACTGCTGTTGTCGATCCGCTGGTCGCAGGCGACGCCATCGACAACGGGACGACGACAGGCGAAGGCGCCGGCGACGAGATCGCCGCCGCGGACGCCGCGTCACATCCTACCGCGCACAATCAGACGGGGCCGGGTGCGCAAGGCGGGAGAATGGCTGGGACTTTGTCTCACGGGCCGATTGGAGACGTGTCGACCGAAGACAGTTCAGTTCCGCTGCCTACGGCCGACGGCGATAACTCCACCGGCAAAAAGTCCTCAGGCAGTCCTGATGCCGTCCTTCTCTCGGACAGCGGCTCGGGTAACGCGGTGGTGCCGCCCCTCGCGACGATTCAGGCATCGGGGCGGTCGATCGTGGTGGGGAACCCGACGCCGAGTTATAACTACCCGTTCAACCCGCAGGTTAACTACAATAACTGGGTCGCAAAGACCAAGATCTACGACGGCGACGTTATCCGTGAGTGCAGTGGGCGAGGGCAAGGGAGGAAGGGCAGGTTGGCGAGAGGGCGAGGGAGGAAGGGCAAGGCGGGAGAGGGTAGTGGTTATTGGTGTGAGAAGTCTGTAGATGGGGAACTGACAACGTGTGCACTGCTTCTTGACGGATGCCGTTTTGTACTGGATTCAACTGCTCCACTCTCTCACTGTATCGTCCGCTTATGTTTCCCCCAACTTCCTCCCATCTCGTCATCCCATGGAACCCGCAGTGTTCAAGTATCCGAACTACCATCAGGAGGTGGTCCAGTTCGCGCGCTACGGTGACTACCGCTCGTGCAACTTCCGCGCCGCGAAGGTCGTTTGCTACGACAGCTGGGGCTCCAAGTCGGGTTGTGCGATTAAGGTTACCCGAACAATGGCGTACTACGCGTCTGGGCTCTACGGAAACTGCATGGCTGGGCAGAAGCTCGCCGTGAAGGCGAACGCGAAGCCGTACACACCGCGAACCCTGTCGGTGGGTTACCCTTCGTCGCAGTTCAACTGGAACTGGAATCCGAACGGGCAATACGACAAGTGGCTGCAGTACAATAAGGTCTACAATGGCGATACAGTTGGTGAGTGTACATTTTTATGCCTGTTGTTTGAAGTTTCCTCTTTGCAAGAGCTATGGATATGCTATTTTGGACTTGGGTGAGTACTGGAGTCCTGAATCATCCCTTTTCCTGTTGGCACTGAATCTCAACTCCCCTTCTGCAGTTTTCAAGTATCCTCCATACAAGGACGAGGTCTTCATCGTGCCATCGCTGACGGATTACAGGAACTGTGACTACTCGAACTATATTTCTTACTGCAACTCTACAGACGGTGCAGGGGCTGGTTGTTACAGCAACCCCATTACAGCCACCACGTACTTCATCTCAGGCATCTTCAGCCATTGCATGAAGGACAACCAGAGGGTAAGTGGACACTCCATCTATTTCCTCTTATGCTTTTCTCTATGCGCACTTTGACATACTTCATGTCCTCGTTGATCATGTTTTCACCATGCTGCCTCCTTTTTGTGCAGATTGTTATCACTCCTCAGAACCCACCATCGTAGGCAGCACAGAGGGCGGATTGAATGCTTAAGTGTAAGCTTTGCAATGGATTATAAGATCAGCTAGGAAGCCTTTTAGCAGTGTTATGTCAGGTGACAATCAATGTACTAGAACTAGTATATCATGCTAATACTATGCTGATATATTGACCAATACATAAGATCTGCAGTGCACAGCGTGGTGCACCGGGTACCGTAACAAATTCTTCAGACAGATAAAGTTGTGCTCGAATCCTTTGCAGTATTACCGGTATGATGCAGTCTTCAAAAGGGATATGTTGCAGTATCTAACAGGCATATGCTGCAGTATGTAAAAGGCATATGCTGCAGTATCTAACAGGCATATGCTGCAGTATGTAAAAGGCATATGCTGCAGTATGTAAACGGCATATGCTGCACTATCTAACAGGCAACAATGGGGCATTTACACGAGGATGCCTCGTCTTTGGTACCCTTGGTCCTGCAATTGCACATTCAGACCAGAAAAACTGTGCACTAGTCTGGTGCTGCTTCCAAGTGCTGCCAAGCATCGTGAATTCAACTTGCAGTTTCTGTAACCATTTGTTTATCGTATCCATGTCTTTACGGTTTGATTTGGGGTGTGTCCGATATGGATGTAGATATTGTAATTGATACTGAGCTAAGAGATATTATGTTCTCATACTGTAAGCAGCTGTAGATGATAGAATCTACACCTATTCGTTCAAACGTGAGATCATCAGCCACTTTCCCACAAGTACCGTCACCGCCTGCCAAGGCTCGAACCCGTCCGTCAAGGCGCTCTCGCGCGCTTGTTTGACGAGGGCATCCAACCAAAGTTTGGAAACCCGCCACAGAAGAAAGCGGGCTTGCAGATCTCGCGCGAATCCCAGCGCGCTTTCGGGGTGTCAGCGCGCAATGCACCAATGTTGAAAGATTGCGGCTCGTAGTCGAGTCGGCTTCCATAAAAAACTGAACCGAAATGTGAAAGCTTCTCCCGCTCACATGCGCCTCCGATTTTATATTTTCTATTCATCTCACCTTTTCGACCTGTCCACCTCATCCCCCACGCGCCCTCTGCTGCCCTCCGCTTGATTAGCATTGGTGGCCTCCTTGTGCTGCTGTTGTTCAAGCTCGGCAGTGGCACCTCCCACGCACAGCAACGGACGGCTACACTTTCCCGCGCCATCCACGCGTAAGCACAGCTCAGAGGTTCGTTCTTATGTTTGAAAGGCTGCTGCCTGCCTCCGATAGGGCAATTGAAGCCTGACCAACACCTTGCTTGATGCTGCTACCACTGTCGTGATCGCCGAAACGAGCAAACGCTCGTTTGCGTCGCGCCCCTCTGGTCGACATACAGTGGATAGATTCAGTTCCCCTAATAGTCGGTCGGGCCATTGACGACGGCTCCTGTGACAGGTCGGTCTGTCCCGTCCCATGCTCCGCTCCTCCCAGCATCCCCCGCTTTTCCTTTCGGATCATGCGTTGGTTCGGCACACCCGCTGGTACATTCTAGAGTTGGGTGAACAGACTGGAAGACTGGGCGCGCATTCGCAATACGATTCCTTTCAGCGGCGCATCACCTCATCACTGACTCATCATCAAATCATCACATCACTATTGCCCTCCAGCTTAGACCGCTGCCTGTCACTTCCAGGTCGAGTCCTCTTCCGCCTCGATCGGCCTGCTAATTCAAACTCGTTTAGTACGGTTTCGTAGAAAAGCATTTAGAGATCTGATCAACGTAAGAAAACCTAGAGATAGACGCTCTGCCGTAGTTAGGTGCTTAGGTTTACAACCTTCCAATCAGAGTCTCGTGCCTGCACAAAGCGCGCTTTCATTAATTGAGCACTCCCCAAACACGCCTTGAATCTCACAAATACGTCGCAACTTCTAGACTAGACGTTGACGTAAGACCGTCAAAATGGGCTACCTCCCGCAAAGAGTGTCAACTAAGAGCTGCAATCCGTTTGGTTATCGCCGAACCATGCGCTCTCTACTCTCCTCCAGTCTCCTGCTCATCCTCGTTACTGTCGTCTCCGCTGAAATGAAGGATCGCTCGCTCTTCGTCCCGTCGCAAGCGCCCCCTGCGGGAACGCTTCAATCGGGCGGCGAGATAACGACGCAGGCTGCGAACCCGCCGCGGTACATTAACGTGGGGAGTAGCGGCGGGGAGTTCAACTACCAATTCAACCCCACCACTAATCTCCGCAGCTGGGCCGCCTCAACAAAAGTATACCCGGGCGACTATCTCGGTACGTCGTCTCGACGAACTCAGTGCCAATCGTTGTGGGCCGCTTGGTGCGGTTCTGCCGTATTTCTGTACGGTTCAACCACCTTAGTCGTCGGTCTTTCGTCACTAATATGCCGGCTCCTCTTCGTACGGCCGATCTCGAAGGTCGCAGTTTACGGTCACCCGGAGCGGTCAGTTGGTTAATTCTTCCCCGTTGTCCCAATTGCACTTCCCCGTCCCTCCCCACTCCCCATCCTTCTCATCTTTTCCCCACTTCTTCCCCCTCCCCACCCCCCTATCCCCCGTGCCTCCGCCGCGTCTCCGCGCCACCAGTGTTCAACTACCCGACGCGCACGGACGAGGTGTACCAGTTTTACCGGCAGGCTGACTTCGACATCTGCAACTACGCGCGCGCCGTGCGCGTGTGCAAGAACTGGGACGGCGCCAAGGGGTGTAAGGTGAAGGCGCAGCAGGGCACCATGTACTTTGCGTCGGGCATGCTCGGGCGCTGCCAGCGCAACCAGAAGGTGGCGATTAAGGTCAAGAACAAGCCGTACACGCCGCGGAAGATCGTCGTCGGGAAGCCGACGGCGGCGTTCGGGTGGCCGTGGAACCCGCAGGTGGATTACAATTTGTGGATGCAGTCTACCAAGATCTACGTCGGCGATAAGCTCGGTGCGTGCCACGTTTCGTTATGTCCATGTGTGCTTTAAGGTGCGTCTTGAATCGACTGAAACGACTCGAAAGGTGTGTTACGAGTTGACTCGGTATCCGCCTTAGCGTTATCTCCTCTCCCCGCTTGTTGTTGCGATCCCAATGCAATCCCGCTCCTCCCTCCGTCCCGCTACTGGCGCCAGTGTTCAAGTACGCGGCATACATGGACGAGGTTTACATCGTACCGACGTACCAGGATTATGTCAACTGCAAGTACGACAACTACGTGGCGTACTGTAACGCGACGGACGGCGTGGGCGACGGGTGTTTCAGTTCGGCCATCACGGCCAACCCAACCTACTTCGTTTCGGGCTCGTACTCGCACTGCTTCGCGAACAACCAGAGGGTGAGCGAAACTGGGGGTGTTACTGAAGTAGTGTTATTGTACTGGTTTGAAGTTCACTAGGTGGTGGGTCGGGACAGCCCGACGTGGGCGGGTGGTGTGGGTTTGAGAAGGAAAAGATGATTGGTTTCGGGATTAGGTCGTGAACGTAGTACGTGAAGAGCTATAGCTCATCGGTAGGGACTCAGCAGCTGCTTCGATGCTCTTCCCGTTGTCACTACCATGGTAGCTCTCTTTTCCCTCGCTGATTTCTGCTCATTCCCCTCTCCTCCCTCTTCGAACCTACAGCTAGCTGTGAAGGGACTGCCGCCACCCTCGACATAAAGGTCGTACGGTACCACGGAAATCAATCCAGTGGATGGCGCTACTACCACTACCAACCACCTTACCCCAATAAACTCTAGATCTAGGTATTTGCAGAACTGCTGATTCCCGGCCTGGGTGCAAGTAGTCCAGCTCATTGAATGTTATTTTGCCAACAGCCCGTTTACGGTACTTTTCAGACAAGCTTCCCTAGGTGCTCCGGGAAGTGAAGTATATGCTTCGTGGATTAGGAGGGACCTGTGATTGTCCTATACAGATTAGTACAATCTATAATTGTGCAAGGTACCTACCGTATGTTGTGGTGGAGCCTTGCTGATCTCAACCATAGCTCCTGGGTTGGGAGCGATTTCGTTTTCCCCGATATTGAACTCTGGGGAAGTTGAGTGAACAGGTGCCAGTTCTTGCACCATATAAAAACGATACCAGTAGTTGTGGATGGACTAGCAGCGACTCACATAGTTGCACAATGTCTAACAGTTGATTCCTAGTTTCACTTTACAGTGAATCCCAGGCATTTTAGACAGGCAAATCCTATTTGCAAGTGTTACATGGTACTGTACTAGCCTGGATGTAGCCCATTCCATTGCATACATCTGGGCAAAGGCCACGGGCCACCATCCATCAATCTATCCACCTAACCCCTGTGATCAAAGTCTTTCTAATCAATACGGCCAGCTTGAAAAGAGCAACTAATACGTTCAGGCAGTGATACCCAATGCGCGGTTCCACCCTGCAATGACTACCTCTGGAGGAGCTGATGTCTTCTTGAAGCTCTCCCGGCTGTGGAGCGCCTGCAGAGTGGGCAGAAGAGAGGCATGGCGTAACATGGTAACAAATGAGGTTTGCAGAAAGAAAGGACTGGGGGTCATAGCATGCAGAGTGTAAGGAAGTACCGAGAACAAGGGTTTGGGATACCATACCAAAGTGGAGCAGACGGGCTGGCCAAGAGTGTGCATGGAAATGATACGTTTGGCAAGTGTATGGGTGGGTGGGAGGCTGGGTATTAAAGACATCGTGGGCATGCACGCTTGCTCGCACATGCAACTGCGTGGGCATGCACGGGCATGACAGCGTATGTGCAATGCAAGCAGATGTATGCATGTATGCACACTGCTTTCAATACAGATGTGCAAGCAAACACGCCCAAACGTATCCAAGAAAATATTGTGCATACCTTGATGTATGCATGCACGTGTGTGAGGGTGTCAGGAATGTGCCAGTCCTTGTAGTGCGGCAGAGCAACAATCATGTGATAGAGCTTCGGAGAGAGAGCAATGTCCACTGCTGTCAACCTTTCACCCGCCACAAATGGACCGCCCTGCTCACATGGTCATCATGGAAATGGAAACAGTAGAGCGGAATGGGAAGGAGCACGCAGTGAGGATAAGAGGGGGACACACAGGGTCGGTA